CAAACGGAACTATGTGCACTATGACGTGAGCCCTGTTATGCATATATTCTTATGGGTCTCAGGACTTATGTCTTAATGTATATAGTTCCGTTCGGCGGAAATAGCTCCAATTTTGCCTCCGTAGGCGAAGATTCCTCTTCCGACTTGGATGGTCACATTTATTCAGCGTCCTCAGATTACTCGGACGTATATAAACGAAATGAGTGTTTGCATGGGGTCTTGCGAAAAAAAACGAATGTAGAATAGTTGAGAAATTCTAACATAATTTCAAGGAGGGCGGGAGGCGCATGCAAAAGGAGAAAATTTTCACTCATTAATTGTATTTTTAATAGAACACCAACAGGTATTTGCACATGAAAACACTGAATTTTCTTTCGTCAATTCGCAAAAATCAAAATTTAGACAAAATTCATAATCAAATTCCTGTCAAAATCGAACTGATTGGGAAAATCGCAACATTGGAGTTGACGTTCTTTCGTCAGGAATACGACGAAATAAATTTCTAGGCGCAATAAATCGGTTTTCTCGGGCAAAAAGCTACTGTGAAACCAGTATTAAAGCGAACTTTGTTAGGTATCTCGATGTTTTGCTTGATCCCATTACAGATGCACCATCCACAAAAATCAAAATCTTCTTCTTAAATCTGCCAATGCAGAAGAACCTCTTCCACATAAACGCGTCCACTTGGGGTCGATGTTATTTCCCAACAGTTGGAATACATATTCTCGAGTCCACGAAGAGGCCACTTTTCGGAAGGTAAATACGACGGGGCCGCGCGAGATTGCCGCGTTGGGCACTAAGAGGTGGACATTTTCAGTGGGTTCAAATGCAGGGAAATGGTGATTTTCCAGCCCTATCCGACAACACAGGGGTCGCGGAGAGAGGAAATACACGCCGACGAGGAGTGCGTGACAATTTCGGCACTGCGGCAATAACCGAGTTATAAGTTTGTTTCTGAAACTTTTAACTCCCGTCGAAAGGCGAGTAAATGGGAAAACGCGCTCCGTTATCGTCGTAACGTAAGGGCGTATCTCTATTTCCAACGTGAGCCTTGAAAGGCATGGAGTTATATGGAGAACAGGGATCAGGTTGAAATCCAGATGCGCCCTTACGTTAAAGGTACAACGTTATGAGCGAGGAATACAAGTTCCGTGTTGATCTCGTACCCGGGTTGGAGCTCAACCCCCCCCCCCCCCCCCNTCCTCGTATTCTTCGACCATCTTCGGTCTCATTCAACACTGCGGAAAGCTCGAAGACTCGAAGACGAAAGCTTATATTTCGACCTCAACAATGGATCGTATTCGATAGTGGTTCGATGTATCGTTTGGATCAAAACAATTGATCATAACCTCAAATCAAAACGTTCGGATATTTGTTAGAAAAGCTAAAAATGAGAAATTTCGTAGCAAGTCCAGTACTTTATGCTAATTGTGCTTATACAAATAAAAAAAATCTATCACAAAAAACCCGTTCCGCCAGATTACTCAATTGACTTTTGAACTATGTCTATGTTTTGAACCAATCTATACCGATACAATCTCACCCGTTTGATGTATTGGATACGATCTTTAGAACATAAACTCATACAAAAATTTTAGGACTAAAGTAGGAAAAGCTGAAAACGATAAAATTCCTAACAATTATTTCACTTTTCATCACCATTTTGTACTCAAAATAATCACAAAACCAACCACAAGAAACCAGTTCCCTCAGATTACTCAATCGACTTTGGAGACTATGTTTACATGTTGAACCAAACGATATCGATACAATCTCGCCTGTTTGATGTATTAAATAAGACCTACAGTAAAGAAATAGAACTTGAATTGGGAGGATGAATAAATCAAAAATTAATAAATAGAAAATCGATGACGAAACTGCAAATGCGTACCTCGGTTGCAGCGTTTCGAAATCTACGCTCCTATTTCATTTTTAAAAAGGAGACCGATCCAAAGTCAGGGCTCGAGATTTTGACTGAATATCCTTCACTAAGACTGGGAAAATCACGAATATTTTCAAAACGGACTCTGCAGTGTCACCGACGAAATGTGATCGCATGGCTAGCTCGGAACGTCTACAGACTCGAGGGAGAAAAATTATGTGACTTTTCCACGTTTTTCCAGACCGAATTTATCAAAAATCTATAGTTCACATTGTCAATTCGCATGCTTGACACTGGAAATGAACATTTTCGGCATTATTTTAACTCAAGAGGAAAGCAAAAGGTGCACTTCTTGACGATCTTCGGGTGGAGTAAGACAGATCAGAGCTTCTTATGCTAATATCTCAGTCAACATTCAACATGAGCAATACATTGCATAATGACGCCTTGATACAATTATTCGTACTCTATGGACACGCGTGTTGCATAGGAAAAAATGGAAGGCGCTCCGGTCACTCTACTCCATGAAGCAGTGCACGCAGAAGCATGTGGCGCAACGTTACGGAATGTGGCGAGATGAATAAAAATTCTGTGATAAAAATTAATGAGACAGGATCGAAAAGGATATATTTGCACCCTTTTCAAAGATCGGGATATAACATCCCACCGCCATATAGCGAGTTGTGATAGCGTGTCATTAGAATCACTGCTTTATGGGCTAGAATAACCGGAGCGCCTTCAATTTTTTAGTATGCAACACGGATGTCAATAGAGCACGAGTGCATCAAGGCGTTTTTATATCGTCCTATGCTCGGATATCAATACTGAAACGTTGAGGGAAAACGCCGCCGTGCAAACACTCGAGCGTTGTCAGATTTCCTCAGATTAGGTAGGAATTTCCGGGAAAACTTGTAAGCTCTTATTTTTTTAATATTTAAGGAATTTTCCACGCAGCTTGGTCTAATGATTCTGAACGTTAAAACAACACATAAACGACAACATTTTTAAGAGTGCATGGAAAAATGTGAAGTTTTGACTGTCTGAATAATAGCAATTCTAAATTCTGCCTTATTTACGATCCGTGCGAACGCAAGGACACTATAGAATAAAAAAACGCGAGGAATTTGAAAAAAAAGAAAAAAAAGAAAAAAACAATGAGCCCTGTTAAAACTTATTTCCTTGTTCAGCCTCAAAATAAAAGTTTGTTTTGCGGCAGCCGAGTTGCGGGGCGGGAATAATTCCCCACCTCTCTGCCGTGCTAAGGAAAAACGCCGTACGAACATTTGAGCGTTGCCGAATTTCCATCCATAAAACATTCAATTTGGAGGAAAGTTATGCATGTTTTCCCTTGAAGATTTCAGATATTCTAGATTGCAATACAAACAAAATTGTCTGACAAATTGGCAAATAAATTTTTACAACTGTTCCCATCAATACGTATAATATCAAAGGAAATTTGGCAACCCCCGGAGGTTTATACGGCGTTTTCCCTTAGAACGGGAGCTCCGGAGGGCGCCCGTGAAAAAATTATGACGTCGTGAGGAGGAGAATGCAAGAGACATGGAGTAATGAACAGATGTCTGTCCGTTGAAAGAAAAAAAGGAACGGGGATATTTTCATTTAATGTTTTCCGCAGGTCTGCCTCTGAAAGAAGTCATTTGCGTGGCCTACCAACTTTATCCCGGTCGGAGAAAATTCCCCCGTTTTCTCTTTCATAAATCGCGTTGTCAAATCGCATGAAAGGAAAACAAAGAGACAACAAAACGAAGCTTTCCGTCGTTTTCCGCAATGTTTCTCTTTTTCGCGAATACACTCCACGGCGCGGCATTATATTTGCGAGGCCAGCGGCTCCTAGCAACTGGGCATTTCACACACAAAAAAGAAAATTATTTATCGTCGTATACTACCGTGCTAAGGAAGAATGCCGTATGAACCTTCAGGCGTTGACAAATTTCCATTCATAAAATACAAATTTCCCGGTAAATTTATAGGAATATTTTTTCTTCAAATGTTTGAGATAATGCCCTTTGCAATTTTACCTATAGTTCCTAAAAATTTGAAGCAAAAATATGCATAACTTTCCTCAAAAATAAATATTTTATTGAAGAAAATTTGGCGACTCTCGAATGTTCATACGGCGTTTTTCCTTAGTGCGGCAGCACTGTCTCCGTGTGGCGGGAAAACACGAACCCTGATTATATTCTGATACTAAAGGCCTGATACGCATGACGAAAGCCAATGGAGAGCCTTGATTTCGATCCATTGACGTCGATATATCGAAATCAAGGCTCCCCATTGGCTTTTGTCTTTCAGTCGTGGCGATTAATCGCCGTGTGTATTTAGGCCTTAATCAAAGCTCCAAAAGTAATTTCTGAAGTCTCAAAAAAAAAAAAAAAAAAACCTTGGAAAAGTTTCCTCTTACTTTTTTCTTTGCCAAACGTACTTACGGACGCAAATTGGCGGCAAAACTACGAAAACATACATTCCGTTTGCGGCGTTTCAAAATCTCCGCTACCATATTATATTATCAAAGGAAGACAAACTGACACTGTCGCTTGAGAGTATTCTGCACTTGGAGAGAAAAAATCAGACAGCTTTAAAAAATGACGTTAATTTTCCATTTGGACAATTTTTGTTGGTTTGTTTCGTTTTCCTGTTTTTCTTCTTTTTTTTTACAGAATATCATCATCGTCGCAAACCCGGATCGGATACGCGTCTTTGTAATATCACAATTGAAACTTTCGACGTGCAGACGACGCTACTTGGCACTCCGGAAGTTTCCAAAGTAAAAGGGGGTGGGGGACCAGAGGCCAATCTCCTTAAAGGGCTAATGAAAATTGGGGTGATCACTTTGCTATACGAGTTTTGGGAAATCACAGATTCAGCTTGCGAAAGCAATGTTGAAATCTTTGATGATTGGAATAAGTGCATCTGAGCGGTGACTGCCGAAAGTAGGGATTGCACTGCGGACAAGATAGCGGTATGCGGGGTCTCGGAGCATATTGTCTCTGCGTGGAGCCGGGATTGGAAACGTGTGCATTATTGATTCTTATACTGGGGGTTGGAGTCTGGGTGGAAATGTGGAAAGAGAATGGGAATGCTCGGGCGGGAGGCTTACCTCGAGGATCTCGTCGCCTACTTTGACTACCCCGGATTTGAAGGCGGGTCCGTTGGGATTAAGGCCACAAATGAAAGCTGCCATTTTGGTGCGATCCTTATGACCGGCCAAACTGATGCCCAGGCCCTGGTGTCCCCGCTCCACGCTCACGATGCAGACCGCATCCCCGTGCGCAGCGTACTTCTTCTTCACTTTGTCTGAAACACAAAAAAGTTCACATCTTGTTAAAAAACAGCCCAGACACTTATTTCAAGGATGAAAATCAAGTCAAAACCAACAAGACAGCTTAGAGTCCTAAGCTGTCCCAGCGGTCGAGTGGCCCTGCCGCCTGCTTATTGAACTTGATAGACAAAGATTTGGATTGCATTTTGCAAAAAGGGACCACTAGCATTGCAATGTTGCTAAGATTGTGAAACTTCTTTTGTCTTGGAGGAAAACCCCGATTATTCATTAATAGTTTCTATTTTCCTCGCAAAAACTGTAAATTTAAGACAAAAATTACCGTCTAAATTTCATAGCAACCAATCACAATGCAAAACATTTAGGTTCGCTTCGAGAAAAAAATTTGTTTCAGGTAAGACTACGTATACAACCCTTATTTCTCAGCTGATTCCTCGCTTACGAATCAAAATAGCGCGTAACGCTTAACGCTCAACGCATGAGGTACAAAGCGCTTAAAATGTGAGTGTAGGAAAATTGGACCACATTTTGCGAGTGGCTAATAAAATTTAGAAACAACGTATCTGCCGTTAGTGTCCCTACGCAGATAGATGTTCTGATTTATGATCCAGAAACTGAAGTTCCTGACTGCAGAATGCACCCATTTTAATTTTCCAATGTACGCACCATGAAATTTTGTCACAGAACCATTAATCATGGTGCTTAATTTATTACCCAGTCCATCAGCATGATTTTCATCAAAGAATTTCTTAACTTTTCTTAATAAAAAGTTAAAAAACCTACAGCAACAACAGAGGGGGAAGGAGAAAGAAGAGGGGAAGTGAGAAGCGAATTCGTGTTCTTTCCAGAGAAAGACAAGAGGAAGATAACTTGAAGAAAGATTGATCGGTGGCGCGGGGCTTTAAAAAAGTGATGATATAGAGCGATCGATCGTGCAACGGAAAACAGCAGTAAGTCGCCTGCCGACGTGAGCCCCGAAGCACGTAAAGATACGCGCTAACCGCGACTCCCGTTGAAATATACATACTGCTGACTTCTGTCTCGATAAAAACCGCGTATCTGCATATGTATTCTATTCTGAGTTACGTCGTTCTTTCGATGCCGCGCCGGGCGGGGGAGCGAAGTCGGCGTTTGATAAATGATTGATAATCGTCGCTTGGGATTCCGACGCGACTCGCGGGTTGAAGAAAATTTCGAGAGACCCGTCGTCGTCAGCAGTGGCGTGCTTTGCGATACATCCATCGATCCGCCATTTAAACCAACGGGAAAGGATCGATAAACGGGATGTTCGATACGAACACCTAATTAATCGATTATTTGCCACAACTTCAAACGGGGAAATATCGAAAATCGATCATTCTCTGGTCGTCAGTCATGGGGAAATTGATTGGGGCCAACATCGAATGCGGTGCGCGCCAAGAGTTTCCAAGTACGAAAAAAACGGGAAACCAAAATAAGCGGTTGTCAATCTTGGCCGGGGCTGCCCTGAGGGGGTGGCGCGACAGCCGGAGGACCTTCGGGTGCCATAAACCGTCGCACAGTGGATCGAGTCAATGGGAGAAGTCGAACAAAATTTGGAAACTTTAAACGCTTATAACTCCGTTTATACAAAACTTTGAGGTTCCAAAAGTGGTTCCATTGGTTTCCGCGTGAAATTCTTTCCTCAGAACACCCCTTTGAATTTATAATGTGACATGATAAACATCTAATTTGCAGTTTTAGTCAAACATTTCATGTCCGACCTCTCTAACTGACTCGATCCACTGTGCGTCGTTTCTCTCGCGGAAGAACCTAATTACATTTCAAGGTTGCCGAATTTCCCCTCGCGGACTGCATTTTCACCAGAAAAATCATGGAAATTTCTAACAGAAAATTTCACTAATTTTTCCTATTATTTCAGGCAAAAAGCAGAAAAATTTCCGACGGTAAATTGCACACGTAAACTCTTTTGAAAACCCGAGTTATATTGAGTCGATTTCGCAACCTTGGAACGGAGTTACATTTCCTCCATTTAAGCCTATGCTAAATGATCAATTCTTGTCAGAGCGTCTGGCCCCTCCGAGAATCGATACATTTTCACAGGTTTTAATGGAGAAAAGACAATGTTACCAACTTGCTGGCTCCGCCAATGAATAAGGCGACAATATCGTGAGGGGGAAAAAGCCATTCAGCGTTTCCAAAATGTCGTCATTTTACAATTCTCAGACTACTCTCTGATTCCAAGATTTTCGAATTTCCTGACTTTATTCGGACTTTGAACGAAAGTTCTGCTCCAATTTTTCCTTTCAATAACGCTAAATCTTGCCGAACTTCGGACTAATTTCCACTTCTAAAGATTGAAATCACGAATAAAGGCACTTGGAAGGTGCTCGCACTTTCTTGAATGGCACTAGTTGAGCTGAAATTGCCAAGTCGATTCTTGATTCGCTAAAATTTTCCGGCTTATTTTCCCTCGAATTTCCTCATTTCATCCGGTCGCCAAATTCCTTGACGTTCCCTGATGTACCGCTTCTTTAGACCACCATGCCAGAAACCCAATAAAATCATTCATGCTCAATCACTCACCTCCAGTTCTAGCTTCATCCTTTAGGACGACCAATTACAGATGCTTTTAGGTTCTAGAACGAAGTTTGTAGTAAGATATTACGATGGAAGTATTTGCACAAGAAAAATTGTGAGTTGGGCTTTTTTAGGGGGCTATTAAACGAACGGGTTATTTGATAAGGGGCTTGCCAAAATTCATGAAATTGACTTTTTGACGGAATATTATTTTTTCAGGGTGGACGCATCTTACTATCGAGCGATTCTACCGATTTTGATTTTTTTAAAAGTTTTTCATAAATTAACATTTGAATATCAGTTTTAGTGGAAGAAAGGTCGTGATATCCGAACCATCGCGCATCGCTCCCAGCGCTTCCTGATGACAAACAACATGAGCAAGAGCGCACAAACTATACGACTTTTAAATATTGTCATCGAACACGTGTCACCTGACTGCCATAATATGGCAAGACAAACATATGTGGCAGCACTGAGCACTTTTGTGGAAGACGGGTGTATCCACCAAAATGTTAACATTTTCTTTTTCCTCGCCCATTCTCCTAACCTGGTCATGTGACCGTGGTATTCTTGCTGCTAGTATCTTATGAATACAACCTTAAAACACTAAAAAGGACCAAAACTAGAGAAAAAGGGGAGAAAAACACCGAAAAATGTTTTACATTCTCCCATTTGAAAAAGTTACGATGGCTTTTAACAATGGAGTTTCGCGTTCCGTCGTCACAAAAAGTCATATGAGCTAAGAGAAAAAAGGAGGTGGAAGAGGAAAAATAAAAAAAATGTCGTCCTTCTTTCTCTTCATTTTCTTCCATATCTTCCTCTTTGCCTCTTCTCCTCCTCTCCTTCTTATTTTACTTCTGATTTCTGATGCGTCCTTGTACGTCAAATGTTAGGAATCCTGCAATTTGCATCAATTAAACTCGGATTGTCATTCGAGTAGAAATGGACATTTAAATTTTTCCACTGAGGAACTCACGATGAAAAAAATGTGAAAATTCTCAAAGTGATGATATTTCTTTAAATTAAAAGTCGAGGATTCACTTAAACATTTTCACGAGGATGGGAATTTGCACACAAAAATTTTATTGCTTTATGTGAGAGTGCCTAATGAGCTGAGTTCGTAGTATTTTTCATAATTTTTTTCTGACACGGGACATTGTAGAAAAATAGATTTAAAAGTGAGAAAATGTGCCACCTTATGACGTCATCTGGCGGCATTTTCCATTTGAACACATGTATTTTGGCATATTAGGTTATTTTGTCATATTTTCTCTAACAATTGTCCAATTTTGAAACCAAGCATATCCTCGTACTCAGTTTCCTTAGTAATATCACTTTAAAGTTGAAATTCACAAAATTTAAGACACCTGCAAATTCTCTACTTCTCTCTTTTGCTTGGCAAAATTATGGTCAAACAATAACTCATCGTTGCGCATTGCACTCATGCACTCGTGCATTCTCACACATTCGTGGAGAATGGATTTGAACGTAGATGACATTAAATGTAAATGAGCGCTGCGGACGGGAAACCCAAGGTTTTTTTTAGGGCGAGACGGAAGAGCTTTGATTTATAATTTAAGAGTCGATGGCGCACGCCTCGACAAAGCGAAACAACTCGTCACGTTTCCGGCGAAAGGGCCTAACCCAATTTCGGCATGAGCCCCAGAGAGCATGAATTTATATGTAAAGCAGGGCTCAAGTGGAGGTTGAAACGCGCGAGAGGAGCGACGAACCGCGTGACATCACGGCGAGAGCAAACATAATTGAAAGCAAATTTATCGGAGCTAAACCCGATTAAACGAGGCGCGGGGTGATGGGCCATAAATTTTGGAAATTTCACCGGTGCAACGGCAAACAGCCAGCTCCGTACCGCAATTTGTGCAAACACACGCCGCGTCGCATCGCCCGAGTACATTTCCATTTCGCCGCTGGATCCGTGGCCGATTTCCCGATTCAATGAAAAATCCCAATCATATCAGCCACAAAGGAATCATTTTAATTAAACGATTTTGTTAATTGGATAGAGCTAAGCGAAACGCTCACACCTAAACTGCGCTATTTCAAAGTCCCATCTCCTATTCTAATTTCTCGGAAGGATACCCACCATCATTTGAGCTTAAAATTTTGTAGGAATAACCTTCATAATAAGGGCAAGAATTGCAATACTCTTCGAGTGGGGATGCTGGTTGCCTACCTCCCGAAAAATTTAGATGGGACGTGAAATTTGGTAAGACCGCAATGTACAGTTTGGGGTCCGGGGGGGGGGGGGTGTTACTCCTATCCAACGGAGGCAATATTTTCAGTTGAGCGTTTTTTCTTGCATTTCAAAAATCAGACTTCGAGATTTCCACGTGTAACACTCATAGTGTGCTAAAAAAATAAGTAGTGAGCGGTTAAGTATATTTGTTTTTGGTAATAATGAGTATTTGGACCGCAATAAATAGAAAGGAACCAAGCC